GTGCGTGCCCAAGATCCCGAGAGGAGAATGGAGGAGAGGGGATTGCAGCGTGACCATCCCCTCTGGGGGGTGATTTCTCACTTTCTGTCTCTATGTCTCTCTCTGTCTGTCTGGTGAGCGCACGTGCCCTATAGCAAAAATCTCTCCAAAAAAAAAAAAAAAAAAGACACAGGGAGACACAGAGAGACAGAGCGGTGGAGAGAAAGAGACAAGTAGCACTACCCACTAGAAATGAGTGAGGGAGAAGTCTCAGGAGAAGATCTTCATTTTAAGTCTCTGCAAGCAATATTTCACAGCTGAAGTTCAGGATCCATGTGGCATAAAAAAATTCTTATAAAAAGAAAAGAAGTGAGAGCCAGCAGGTGGCGTAGTGGTTAAGGCGCTGGTCTCTCCCACATGGCCAACCACAGTTGGAGTCCAAGACCTGGTGGCTTGCTTGCTTTCTCACTTTCTCTCTTTCTCACTCTGTGTTTCTCTCTGGTCAAATTAAAAAAAAAAATGAATGAATAAATAAAAATTAAGTAAATAATTCTTACAAAAAAAAAAAAAAAGAAGGGAATAAAAAAGAAAGTGAGAAATCACCCCCCAGGGGGGATGACCACATTGCAATCCCTTCTGCTTCATTCTCTAGGGATCTTGGTCATGCATGCACACATGCCCAGCATGTTTCAAGCCGCTAGGACTGGGACTCAAACTGCAGTTGACCATGCGGGAGTCCAGCGATATAACCATTATGCCATCTGCTGGCCCCCCTATTTCCCAAATTTAAAAAAGATTTATTTTATTTCTTCTGAAAGAGAGGGTCCAAACAGGATGTTCACACCACAGTGCACCCCAGACTTAGTCAGCCTGGATCATGGGCACATATATGTGCCTAGTGTGTACAGAGAGACCTCCAGATGTGAACCCAGGACCTTCTTATGTGGGTCTAGCACCATGGGACATTCTGTCACTGCTGTGCCACCAATGCCAGCCCCACACCTTCTTTAAATTGGTTATTTACACGAACGTGTTTAAACAGTCAAGGCCGAGGTGGGCCCACACACGTGTCTGCTCACGGGATCCAGTGACAGGCATGTGGTCGTGAGCAGATAAAGGTGAGAGAAAGCTAGATGTAGCTTTTCCCTGAAGAGGGATTCAGCATCTCCAAAATGAAGGAAAAAGAACAAAAGCCTGAGAAACATTCTCTTTCCACAAAGAGACACAGATACCAAAGATGAACGTTCCTCTGCTGCTAGAGGCCTACAGCCTGGCACTTCGGCGCTCCGAGGGCAGGTGGGGTGAGCTGAAGGGAGGGCAGCTTCCACTGCGGGTTCTGCCTTCTCCTAGGTGACACCTCTTGTTAATCACCTTTAGAAGTCTGTCATCTTCCTAATGGAAAGGCAGGATGCATTTTGAAAGAATAAAACAGTTAATATGAGAAAGGATCAGGACTGAAGGTGGAAAAAGAGGTTAATGATTGTCTTGGTAGAGTGCTGTGTGTGTGTGTGTGTGTGTGTGCGTGTGCACGCGCGCGTGTTTCTAATTAATGATTTATTTAATTTTATTATTATTATTTTAAAATTTGCCATAGGGCACTTGTACTCATGACAGAGTGAGAGGAGAGAGGAAAAGTGAGAAAGCAAGGCGCCAGATCCAAGACTCAGAACCCAGGTGGCCAAGAGAGAGTCCAGTGCCTTAACCGCTGCTCCACATGCTGGCCTCAGTGCTCTGTGCTTCGTGTTTCTCAAAGAAAATACGAACAACTTTATTATTAATACAATATAACTAACAATAATGGAAGCAGTTGGGAAATGTACCTTTAATTTCTTTTATTTTTTAGAGAGTTTTGCTATAGAGTCTGTGCATTCCTCAGAGAGAGACAGAAAGTGAGAAATCACCCTCTAGAGGGGATGGCCACACTGCAATTCCTTCTCCATTCTCCTCTCAGGATTTTGGGTATGCATGCACATGTGCCCAGTGTGAGTTTCAAGATGCCAGGTCTGGGACTTGAACTGCAGTTGGCCATGTGGGAGTCCAGTGATGTAACCATTATGCTATCTGCTGGTCCTGAGTATCTTCAATTTCAAATCATTAAAAAAAAAAAATGATGATGTTCTGACAGTTGTTTAATTATACTGAATGGGTCAGCGGGTGGCGTGATGATTAAGGTGGCTGGATCTCACATGCCCACCAAGTCCTGTAGCGTAATCACCCCCCATAGGGGGAAATGCCTTCGCATTCTCTCTCTCTCTCTCTTTCCCCCTCCAGCAAGTGCGCAAGCCCTCTGGCAAATTGAGAAGTATATATATATATATATGTATGTGTATATATATATATATATACATATACACACACGAATACACACACACACACACACATACAAATGAATTAAAAATAAACCAGTCTGGGACCAGCAGTTGGCGTAACGGCAACTGGACTCCCATGTAATTGACCTTGGTTTGAGTCCTGGACCCAGTGGCTTAAACTCATGCTGGGCACGTGTGCGTGCGTGTCCAAGATCCTGAGAGGAGAATGGAGAAGGGATTGCGGCGTGGCCATCCCCCTGGGGGGGTGATGTCTCGCTTTCTGTCTCTATAGCACGCGCTCTATAGCAAAAACCTCTCAAAAAGAAAAACAAAAAACAGTCCACCGGATCCCTGATGCTCTCTGCTTCGGCAAGATGTCTGCCTTCCCCAGATTGGGCGGCCATCCTTACAGAGCCTAAAGATCAGTTCTGGAGCTCCTACTGGCCAGATCGTAACAAGAGGATTTCAGCATGAGAAAGCACATGAAGAGGCAGGGACGCATCTTCTGGGAACTAAGAACACAGGGAGAGTTTGGTTGGAGAAGCAAGGTTTTCCCTATTAGTGAAGGGCCTGCTGATTAGCTAAGAGTATCCTTGGGCTGTAATTTTGTTGATTAAACAGAAATACCCTAAGCTCCTCTACCCAAAAAATACCTTTGGTATAGCTATTTGTCAAGTTTCTTTTCTTTCTTTTTTTTTTTTTTTAAATAACTATAATTGTTCTGTGGAGTGTGTGGTGTTTTAGATAAGGTCTTGCTGTATCGCAGTCCTCCCGCTCAGCCTCCAGAGTAGCTGGAGTGACAGGAGTGTGGCCAGCTCTTTGGGTGGGCTGGAAAACGCATTACATTTTACATAAACTTGCCAAGATGTGGAGGAAGCGAGAACTCTGCTAAATATGACCTGTGGAGAGAAGCAAGGCAGTGCTGTGGGCGGAGGCAGAGCTGTCACTCAGAGGGGACGGCGTGGGCGCTGGTCCTGGGGCCATCGACTGGCAGTCAGGTAGCAAGGCAGAGCGGACGCAGTGAAGGGCACAAAAGCGAGAAACGGGACGTAAAAGAGGTCCCACAGGAAGCAGAAAGGTGGGTGTTGAAACAGAAGAATCCTGGGTGACATGTGAGGAAGGAGAGTTAGAATACTTGAGGTCACCTGTGAGGTGGCTTAGCCAGAAGGCTGCTATTAAGTTTGTTTGTTTGTTTGTTTGTTTGTTTTGCTATAGGGTGCATGGGCTGGCCAGAGATAAAGACAGAGAGAGAGGGAACCTGAGAAAGCACCCCAGGTGGATGGCCATGCTACAATCCCTTTCCCTCCGTTCTCCTCTCAGGATTTTGGGCATTCACGCTCACACACGCACCAGGAGTGTTCTTGAAGCCAGCCGGGTCTGGGACTCCAACCCGCATCGTCGTCTTACGTGGGATCCACCCACCTTAACCACCACCACACCTGCTGGTCCTGCCATTAAACTTTCAATATTCCTTCAGACCCTTGACCTCCCCTCCTCCCTCGTCTCACATAGTATACTTACTGCTATTAGACAGAAGGGGCAAGCTTGGAGAAAGACGAACTTGGAAGGGGCTCTGTACATTATCTTGTTTCATTTCATTTTCCAGGTGAGGAAACTGGGGCTCAGAGGGAAGCGACTGCTCAGGGTCATACAGAAACCAGATGCTAAATCAGAATTCGGGGATCCCGAGGACCTGCCTGTCACCCCGCAGTTCCTGACCGGGGCTATATGAAGCCGACAGCCCACTGAAGTCCGTCACACCCAGAGAGCACAAAGCTTGGCTCCTCTGCGGAGTTAATGATTATAGCCTAGTCCGACCCAGAACATCTGAGCCAGTTACTCATTAAGCCATTTTCACTGAGAAGAGACATTTCAGACAGAAGAGCAGCGCGTCCTCTTAAGCTAAGTCTACGGACTGTCAGGTTACTGTGGCATGCACTGTACAACGGCGACCTTAACATTTCATACAGAATACCTTAACCTCTGTACCTTTCTATTTTCTCTCACTGCACGCCACATGCAGGGCCCAGATTAAATGGTTTCGAGACTTTTAGGGGGAAAGATTTAACTAAAATAACTTCACTGAGTGCTTAAGTGAACTAGGTAATAAAATCTGCTCGCTGTGTCCGCTGTCCCCAGATAGGGCTGTAATTACACCACAGACGGGAGAAAGGTAGCTCAATCTCAGTCTTGATCGTTTATGTAAACTCAGCCTTCTTGTCAGCGGTGTTCTCATATTGCATGCACGAAGACCGCAAAAATCATCTCCTGCGAACCACACGGAGACAGTGTCTCACTGCAGGCCTGTGAGACGGCTTATGCTTTTTCTGTGATTGGATGTCTGTGGTTAAAGACCAAAATCTGATGTTCCGAGCTAAAAACAAACCCAAAAAAACTGTTACCAATGAATTCCCCAGAACAGTTGTGTTTCTGAAACTTGTAAAAGTTGAAGGTATTCTTCAAACCAAAATATTATAAATGAATATAGTTCATAAAGCTCCTTTCTTATTAAATCAAAAAAGTTTGGTTCTTAGAAATGTGTTTGAAACATATTGATCTTCCGAAAGGAAAAACAGACAATTTCTTTTTTTTTTAAGAATTATTTACTTATTTAATTCCATTTGTTATTATAATTAGTGTTATTATTTAAATTTTGACCAGAGAGAGAGAGAGAGAGAGAGAAAGGGAAGGTGAAAAAGCAAGCCGCCAGGTCCGGGACTTGAACCACGATAGGCCATGTGGGAATCCAGCGCCCTTAACCACCATGCCACCTGCTGGTCCCAAAACAGACTATTTCTAATATGACAAAATTAACATTTGATAACATTTTAATCTCCTACTTCACATATTTGGCAACTTTTCAGAAATGTCTCCAAAAAAGTCTTACAAAAACTGTGAAGCACCAAGTGTATTCATATATCTACAAATACAGAGACATAACTTGAAGACAACAAATAAGGTGTATTTTCCCTTAATTCATTGAACTGCTCTCCGTTATGACAAATTGGTCACCAGTTTCTGGTTTGACAGTCCTCCCTGACCGGTATTGGTAATGTTTCTCCTGACACCTGCAGCTTCCAGCTTGCTTTATCCTCTCTAGAAGGAAAACCACAGGCCACCGCCCTGGCGCCATCCCTGGCTCGGTCCAATCAATAAGGACTTATTTCCTGTCCATTTGCTGAGGTCACAGGAGTGAATCTCATTAATTATTTCTGCTACTGCAGCCTCAAGTGTGCTTCTGGTGTGACAAGTGAAAACTGCTTGACCTTTTTTTTTCTTCTAATTTTGTTTGTAGTGGTTCCAGAAAGAAGGCAGTATTCATTTAGCAGTGTGAGAAAAGGAAGGAATAAAATGTATATGATTTTAAAGTCATGAATGCATTTAGACATTTCATCGCAAAAGCGTGCTCCCATCACCTCATTTCCTAGGATTTTCAGCTAACGAAACAATAGCGTCTTTTTAATTTGGTGTCATAAAAATCTGGTCACAGCAAACACAATGTTTTCTAAAGCAGATCTGGCCTCCGAGGGAGGAAAGCTCTCCAGGGCTTCCAGTGCCTTGTTTCCATGGTAACGACACAGGTCAATAGCTGAAGTCACACCTTGGCCAGCTTTGATTGTTTCTCGCAACTGTTAAGAAACAAACGCACAATAGCAGTCAGTTTTAAGGTGCACAGTAAGCATCACAATTACACTGCGTGTGTGTGTGTGTGTGTGTGTGTGTGTGTGTGTGTGTGTGTGTGTGTGTGTGTGTGTGTGTGTGTGTGTGTGTGTGTGTGTGTGTGTGTGTGTGTGTGTGTGTGTGTGTGTGTGTGTGTGTGTGTGTGTGTGTTTGTAGGGGAAACGAAGGAGGGAAGAAACACAATAGATTATTTCTGAATAAATATTCCTTTATTTAGAGGAAAAGAGGACATCATTCCCCAGTGATCTTGAGGCCCCGGCTTTCCCTAAGGCTGCTGGAGTCTGAGCCACACAGTGGGTTCCAATGAGCCTAATTACACCTCCTCCCGGCTCCCACCTCTCGTATCCGAAATGTGGGGATGGCAGTGACAAAAACGGAGGGCATCTACGTCGCTGGCATTTTGATTTCCGCAGCCTGCTATATATTCGCATGGAAGGAAGGCTTCACTAACATCTTAGCTAATAACTTTTTTTAACACCATATGTTGACACAATGGTCCATATGAAAATTCAAGAAAGACATATGTATTAAGATCGGAATGCTGCATTTTTAAAGGAAGAGACTTTATCTGACTGGGAAGAATGAAATCAAACACACTTTGTAAAGAATACAGTAAACTCTTATTGACAAACCAACTTGAAGTCTGGTTCCTTTCTTTGTTGATGAGAAAGGAACCCACATGGTCAACTGAGTGGTTTGAGTCTTGGACTTAGAGGCTTAAGAAACATGCTGGACAGGCCAGCAGGTGACATGGTGGTTAAGGCACTGGACTACCACATGGCTAACCACAGTTCAGGTCCTGGGTCTGGTGGCTTACTTTCTTGTTTTCCCTCTCTTTGTCTTTGTCTCTCTGTCTCTGTCAATCTGTGGTCAGTGTATATGGCCTATGGCAAATTAAAAATAATAAATAGGGGACCAGCAGGTGGCGTGGTGGGTAAAGTGCTGAACACTCCCACATGGCTGACCACGGTTCGAGTCCTGGACCTGGTGGCTTACTTTCTCACTTTCCCACTCTCTCTCTGTGTGTCTTTCTTTGGTTAAATTAAAATTTAAAAAATGAAGAAATAAAATTTAATTAAAATCTTTAAAAAATAATAATAAATAAAATTAAATAATTCTAAGAAAAAAAGAAAGTCACATCCTATTAAAAACAAAACAAAAACAAAAACATGCCAGGTACGTGTGTGCCTGTTGTCAAAATCCTGAGAGAAGACTGGGATTGCAGTGAGGTCATCCCTTCTGGGGGCTGCTTTCTCACTTTCCCTCTCTCTCTCTCCCTCTCTCTGTCTCTCTCTGGTGAGAGCATATGCCCAACAGCAAACTAAAAAACATTAAAATGAAGATTTATATTTAGTTGACCTGCTCACTTTCTCTTACCCTAGCTCTCTCTCTCTCTCTCATCTTCCTCAGCAAATGCCTTAAATGTCTGCCTGATCCTCTAAGCTGGAACAGTCCTTTCATCCTCCTTATCTGATCAGGCCCCAGGGCAGTTCCAGGGTTGCTCGCCCATGACTGAACTTTCTAGTCCTCAGAGATTGGGTGGAGCAAGGGTCCAGGTGACAAGCACTAATCTTGGAGTTGTGAATTATGCATGTCATTTCCGGGTGGCAGCATTGAATTGGCCACATGAGTCCTTCTAGAACTTTCCCTTTGACATGCCATCCAGCCTCAGTCTTGATCCAAAAGACTTTACTAAGCACCATAATGCCTCATCTACTTGTGATGGGCACGCAGTATGGGCAAGAAAACCCAACTGTTGCTTTAAACATCAAGACGGTGAGATTATCTGTGGCCACTCTGACTGATACGATAAGTCCCAGTCATCCTGTCTCCTTCAGACTGGAATTTACCCTTGACTCTTCACTTCCATAGCCACTACATTAATTTGGGCTGTGGCCATTCCCCACCTGGCTTATTTTTTGCAATCACCTCCTGAAGAGTCTTCTCACCAGTTCTGCACCCTTGGATTCTATCTGCCAGGCTGCCAAGGAGATGCTTCCAAAATACAAACACACTCTTGCTTAAAATCCTTCACTGCCTTCC